TAGTAGTAGAGGAGTAGGAGGAGTAGGAGGAGTAGGAGGAGTAGTAGGAGTAGTAGGAGTAGTAGGAGTAGTAGTAGTAGTAGTCGTCGTAGTCGTCGTCGTCGTCGTAGGAGTAGTAGGAGTAGTAGGAGTAGTAGGAGTAGTAGTAGTAGTAGTAGTAGTAGTAGCACGAGCAGCAGCAGCAGCAGCAGGAGGAGGAGGAGGAGTAGTAGTAGTAGTAGCAGCAGCACATCATCGTTAGTAGTAGTGCGAGTCAGCCATGGGCAAGAAGAAGTGGTGCTGTTGACGTTGATGATGATGATGATGCTTCCTGGCGTGTTCTACAGTTTGTCAGGTGCAAAGGGTCCGCTTGCTGCTAGCTAATTACTTCGCCCCCGGGCGTTCATTTTTAGAGCTTGCGTGTTCCTATGCGTGGTTCCGTGATTGTCCAGAGGAGTAGCAGGAGCAGGAGTAGCAGGCGTAGTACCAGGAATGCAGCGATGCTAGTAGCAGCAGTCGGAGCAGTAGGAATAGTATTCGTAGTAGGAGTAGGAGTACTCGTCGTAGTAGTAGTCAGTAGTAGTCAGTAGTAGCAGAAGCAGCAGCAGCAGCAGCAGCAGTAGCAGCAGCAGCAGCGACAGCGGCAGCAGTGGCAGTAGCAGTAGCAGAGCTGTATCAGTAGCAGTCGTGGGTAGAAGTGGTAGAAGTGGAGCTAGTGGGAGTGTAGTGGTAGTATAGTGGTAGTAGTGGTAGGGGGAGAGGAGGCTTGGTCGTAGAAGTAATGGTGGTGGCGGTGGTGGTCGTGGCCGTGGTTGTGATCACCACCGAGTACAGCAAATCGTATCAAGTTGGAAACGGAGAATGCATGATGAGTGCGGGTGTTGCCTATGGTATGCTGTTAGGGCATAAGAATCGGTTCCTAAAAGTATGGAAAAATCTGTAATCTTGGCATCGAAAATTCAAGGACCCAGAGGCCCATGCCCACGAGCTGCTCCGCGCCGAGCCGCGAACAGCCACTGCTTTGCACCCTGCCTCCGGATGTCGAGATCTTCTGGTGGCTAGGGCTTGATTGCAGAATCCTCGAGTTTAGAGCAATTTGGGGCGTAGGGCTTTGAGGTTCAGTGGGACGAGGCTGAGACATTCACAATTGGTTGGCTAGCTTGACTAGTTGCGATAACGGCAGAGCTAGTTGTAGGTAGTAACAATAGTTGAACGATACTGGTAGTGTTAGTGGTGATGATTGGTAAACCAGTCATACGCCTAGCTTTGCAAAACTCCAGCAGCAAAGTTTTTACAAAGTGCAAGATGTACACAAGCCTCCAGGACTCCAGAACCCTATCCCCTGAACAGGGCCGGGGCCGATTGCCGAGGCACGCCTACAACGACATGACCGCAAGCTTTAGGCGCGCCCGCTCGGGCCGTCCGCAGCCGAGGGTTTCAGCTTTCGCGAGCTGCTTTAGTGGGCGGGTTTTGGGGTTACATTAGGGTTAGGGTTTAACTATAATTGCAGGGTTTTTGAGATTTATAGGTTTTGGGCCCCTTTGGCCTCAAATCTAGGGCTTGAGGGCTCGAGGGTTTCGGCTGAAAGCAGGCCTCCTAATTAGGGCGTTGAGCAAGAAGCCGAATCGTCGAGACACTTATCTGACACCTGAAAACATGGCACAGCTCTCACTACGCATCTGACCTGGTTATTGTCGAAGTTGGCATGAGTCCTGTATCTGAGTTCAGAGACAAGTCCACTTGCGCTCCAGGCGGCTCTTCGTGAAGTCAAAGGACCGCGGCTCCATAGCGATTTCCGGTTTTTCTGTTCCGCTGAAGGGCTGGTGACGGCTGGTGGTCGTGTAGAGGGCAACATGCAAGACACCAGATGTGAAAAGGTTGAGCCTTTCGGGAAACAAACCTACAGTAGAAGTAGAGCCATTGGAGATCACTAGAGTTCCTGGGCACACTACCAATGAGTATAGCAGGGTCATGTCTGGATGTTTGTGTGAGCATTGCCAGCGTCAGTGCCCAATGATGACATCGGCCTGAAAACTGAGAGACACGCCGATACGCGGCGTCGGTTCCAAACCCTTCCAATCCAGAGTTTGTAGCAGCGTTCTGTGCTTCAGCCCACTTATTGCAAAAACTCAGAAGGAAGGCTGAGTTTTTTTGTGTGTATGTGTGTGTGTGTGTGCGCGCGTGTGTGTGTGTGTGTGTTGTTTGCTGTGCTGTTTGAATGCGGCTATGCTTGGGCGGAGGCGGCCCTGTGCGCGCTTTTCGCTGGTCTAAAACACATCAGGGCGTACAGTTTTGGGATAGCCTTCTTTGTTCACGGCTTGCAAGTGCGGTGTTGCACTGCAGCCGCTTTTGAAAGCAAAGTCCGGGTTTCAGTATTGGGGTGAAGGGTTCAGGTTGAGGCTTTGGTTGCTGGACAGTTTCATGCTAGATTCTGGGGTTGCTTTGGTAAAGTGCGGCTGCAAGAGTTCTGATTTTGAAGTGGCTTGGCTTGGTTTCGTGACGGGGCTTAATTTGCTTGTTGTCTAGATGTTTGTCATCATCATCATCCCTTGCAGCTACCCTTGTGTCAGGAGACCTATGAGGTGGTCGCGGGCAGCATCCCGGAGATTGAGAGCAACGCCGAAGCTGCGCACCTTGTCCCAGGGAGTCTGGGTGAGTCGTCAATGATGCGAATAGTCGTAAAATCGTATTGGTAATAGATAAGTGACTCTCGTTTCTGTAGGCTCCGGGCTTCGGGTTTCGGGGCGGTGTTCTAAGTCTAGTCGGTCCTGGTTGGAGCCGTCTCTTGGTGACTGGTTGATGAATCTCGTAACAAAGCGAAAGAGGGAGGGAAGTGACGCTGATAGCAGCCCTCAATGAGCAGGCCCTCCGCGAGCACAAGCCGCCAAGGTTGAAACTCCTTTGTGACCCATTTGAGGCCATCGAAGAGGTGGGGGGGAGGGGGGGGTTCAGACTTCATCTTCGACCCCCGGGATGGTTTGCGTTTGGTGTGTAAGCTTGAGGTTGCGACATCCCGTCAAGGCACACATGTTGCATGCAGGTCGTGTGCACACAGAGCTCTGCAGTTCCCCCTCGTCGTCGTATGTGGTGAGTATAGGTGAGTACCCGCAGTACTCTAATCGGGAGGGATTTGGAGGGAATGTATGTCCAACACCGATAATATGAATCCGTTGGAGTCGAAAGCCCCAGTCTAAGTTGATATAAGTTGATGACACATTTTGCGAAGGAGGCTCTGCGAACCTCCAACGGCACCTACTTTGACGAGAAGTGCGGAAGTGGGCTTTGGAGGTACTTGAAGTGGCTTGGCTTCTGTCTTAAAAGGGCACATGTGCCCTAAGCCCTGTACTCTGCGAGAGTCGAGGGTGGAGCGGAATGCCTTCCCCAACCTGGACGAAACCACAGCGAGGCGCGGAGCTTGCGCTCGGGGGGGCTCTCAATGACTCCTTCAGTTGATGATGACTACAAGCACAGCTAAGAGACGATCTCGCAAGAAGCTGCGACCCTACAACCAGTTACCAGTTCATTGCCATTGTCAACTCTTGCTGGTGTGTGGCTGTTGGTGCTTGTCCTGGCCTGGTGACGATGTGGCCGTAGTCAGGAGGCTATGATAGGCATGCTGCTGCTGGCGGCCACGCATCTGCTTGATGCCTTCTCATCTACAGCGAGGTCTCTGAAGACCCCTCGCTTCCGCCTCTCCACGTTCGCACTGCATTGCGTCTTCTGTAAAGCCCATGGGCAGGGCACGAAGATGCGTGTCTAGCCAAAAGTTAGAAGTCTACTTGGGTGCTCCCTGCATGCAGGGTTTTCAGTGGCCGCAACTGGGTGTCGCGATTGCTATGTTGGCTACGTCTCCGACGTTCGGACGATGCTGGGGTTGGGCCCCGGCTAAGCAATCCGAACCTCCTTGAGCGGAGTGAATCCGGCAAATGCTCAGATGCATCTGGCGGGTAGCAGTCGGGCATAGAGATGGGCCATCTCTCCTGCGCCTCCCGACAGAAACCCAAGCGCGGCCCAGCTAGTCTACAGGCTGTAACAGCTCTGTGCAACGTCCTTCCACAATCGGAAAAGTGCACACGAAAAACAGCGGCGATCGAGCAATACGGTGCCGGTACAGGAACCCCCCCCACAACACGCAGTCTGTGCCATGGATTGCCAGACCCAACGTTGAAGCGAAACTGCCCTCTGCAGGCAGGAAGCGACAGATCCAGTGGCCACGCAGGTGCGACCCTCAAGCCAGTGGGGCAGTGAAGTTGCATAGGCTTAGTTGAATTTCGTGTCCACGCGAGGGAGTGTGGTAGATGAAGGAAGTGGAAAGAGATTAGCAGCAACCACCACCACCACCACCGTGGTGGTGCTGGTGCTGATGCTGGTGCTGGTGCTGGTGCTGGCGCTGGCGCTGGCGCTGGCGCTGGCGCTGGCGCTGGCGCTGGCGCTGGCGCTGGCGGCGGCGGCGGCGGCGGCACTGCCGCTGCTGCTGCTGCAGCAGTAGTTGTAGCAGCTATAGCAGACGGTAGCAGTAGCAATAGTAGGCGCATCACCTGCAGTCGTCCTTCTCGTCATGGGATGGGGGAAGAGGAGGAGGCGAAGGAGGGAGAGGAGCAGCAGTGGCAGGACGAGGAAGTATGAGGAGACCGGGATTTCGAAGATGTTGACCAATTTGTGCCAGGCCTCGGCTTCTCAGGAGGTGAAAGCCATCGACCAGCGAGGACAGGAGATTTTGATGTTTGGACATCAGAACGTGCCAGGTTCTATGTGCTTCACAGTCGGCTCTACTCCTGTGCACGGGCAGTCTGCGCATAGCTGTGTGTCTGATCATGCAAGGAGCGGCGGAATCGACGCCGCAGTCGCCACGGATGAGTTTGCCTCCACTGCCAATGCCTACAGCAGAGCCCGACGAGCCAGAGATGGGTTTGCCGCCGCCACCCCTGGAAAGAATGCCTTCGAAGACGACGCCCCTACCCGACGACATGGACTTGCCCGGCTGAGCGAAAAGAAGTGTCGACGATTTGCTGGCCTAGCAGAGCCCGTCTGCCTCATAGCAATCCAATCTGTGGTGGTTAGTGGACATGCACTTTCGGCGTGTACTGTCTGGCCACTGTCTGTCCGCAGGCCGAGCCCACAAATCGTTGCTGCGGACAAGGACATGTCTTCTTTCACGGCATGCTCGCCCGCAATCCGCACCCACAGCCGCCACGGCTGCCACACACGTAGCCGTACACACATGCACACACACACACACACACCCCACAGACACGGACTGTCATGTCAATAAATTCGTGAGCTAAGGAGCGGCAAGGTTTGCATGTTTAGGAACTGGGCGGGCTTTACGCAAATAATATGTTCTGCAGACATGTGTTGCCTGATTGGTGGAAAGCCCTGAATCATGAAGCCTTGTGCTTTGGCAATCTGCTATTGCCAACACAATCCGTCACTATCCTACACGGCTTCGACGTTGGATTGCCGAAATTGCGATCGGGGTACCGGTTTCAGGCTGTCGGACTGGGAAGGGCATTGTCCAGGAGATGTCCTACCCAAGGCTGTTGCTGTTATACACTTAAAGCTGACTTGGCTGTCTCTTGCCCCGAAGTGGTAGTAAGGCTTTCTGGCTTTGTGTGCAGAGTGCGCAGGAGGTTCGAAAGGTTCTGCGCGATGTGGAGAAGAAGGCCAGGCCGCCTCTGCCTTGGCAAGTCTGAAGACTAGCAACTAGGCTGCGCAGTGGAGCAAGAGCTCAGCAGTCGGGAGTGGCAGGAGACGCGCGGGGTGGAGCGGCAATTCGGTCGGAACGGAGCCACTTCGAATTTGCTAATTGTGCAAAAGCAGGCTAGCGAAAGGTGAAAGACGGCAGCGTCACCTGGTACAAGGATTGAAGGTCACCCCTGCATCAAACACAGGCATCAGCCTTTTCAAGCTGAACTCAGAGACACGAGAAGCATCGCCCGTTTCGATTTCATCGTGCAGTAATGAGTGCAAGGAGTCCCTGTCAATTTTTCATGCAACACAAGAGGCCACAAACCCCAGCCCAGAGTGTTCCATAATGCATCTGGAGGCTGAACTATCCAAAACCTGCGAAGTGATACGTCTGATGAACGCTTCGACCTGATACCCATGAAAGGGAGACGGTTGCAGCTCCCTTTCCTATTTCAAAAACGGCCGCTTTCAAAAACTGAACATAGCTGAGCTTTGCAGGTGCTGCGTCCAGTTGGTCTGAAGAGTCATCCCGGGCAAGAGTTCAACTTTATTGCTCTAATTCCTGGGAACAGCCGTGTCGTGAGAAAGTCTTGACATCTGGATCCTGGGCCCATTGAGTTGGAGCAGGCATGCGCAAGTAGCACCGATCTTCATGTCGGAGATACCCTACGTAGCTCCGATTGCGATTTCACAAGCGCATGCTCGAAGTTGAAGTTGTTCATGCTAAAAGCCCGTGAAGATAAAGTAGCACAGCACAAATTCACCTCTTACATTTTGACTACATCCCTGTACCATATAACAGTATATTATGTTGGGCCCAATGTTGGGTTATATCGCATTATTATTGCTATTATTATTATTAGTATTATTATTATTAGTATTATTATTATCATTATTATTATTATTAAATTATCATTATCGTATTATACCTCCTTGTCAGACCCAGCTTTGCCAGCTCGTTGGCCAGGCTTCGCCCTCGAGCAGGGCAGGAATCGCCAAAGAGATGCGAAAGATGCATAAAGTTGCTTCATAATCCAGGATAGCAAAACAAAATATAACATAGTATGGTATAGTATCGTACAGCACAATATAACAATATAGAACATATATAACATAAGTTACTCAGACACAAGTGCAAGCAGCCTGTCGAGGAAAGTATTGCCGCTACGCAACCTTGCCCGATGCCAGCAAGTGTCAATTGGATGTTCGTTCGCTGCCGTGTCCAACTTAGCGTCGTGCGCCTGCAGTGCGCCCAGCTTGTCCCTTAGATTTGAATCTAAACCTTAAAACCCGAACCTTAAAACCCTAGACCTTAAGCCCCTAAGCTCCGGCTCCGAAACATCCAACAGCCTAAGCCCGAAACCACCAAAACCAAAACTCGGAAGAAGCCCACGTGAACCTGAATCACACGTCACAAGCCGCTAGACCAAGCCCACTGCTCGGGCCATGGACAAATGAGCTCATGGAAGCGCTCAAGCCGGACGGCCCTGTTTGTTGGTTTAGGGTGTATAATAGGGTTTCGGTTGTACAATTTATGTTTCGGGTTTGCCAGTGTGCAACAGGGTTCTGGGTTTTCGGTGTAGAATCAGGTTTCGAGTTTTCGCGGTTGGTGTGGTTTAGGGGCCGCGGCCCAGAGGCCGCAGCTACTGTAGTGACTGGGGGCTACCGCCAAGCCGAGAGAGGATGAATCCTCTCCGTGGCGATCTGGGGATTGCCACATCCTGGGCTTTTACATATCAGTTCCCAGTTTCAGATCTGCTCAAATGGTTGATTGGATATTCGTCGCACCCTGCGACGCTGGCCCGTCACCGAATGCCAACAGCTTGTGGCAAGTATCCGGTACTCGATGGACAAAGCTTGACATTCATAGGTTCATTGAGGTACTGATTTGGCTAGGGTTCATGCAAATGGAAATCGTACGCCGAGTGTTGGAAAAAGACAAACATGATCGAGAACTATGCACCGCCAAATGATTTTGAAAGCCTGTGGGTTCTGCCGGCAAACCTGAAGAGTCGGAACCTGACCCTACATGTGTTCGAAGTCCGTCCTCGTGCAAACCGTAGTTTCGAGCAGTCTCAGCGTGACTTGACCGAGGGTTCCGAATGCACGCCGCGCTCTAGGGGATGTGACAGACGATGCCAGCGCCAGGTCTTTAATCCGCGACAAGCCTCTACCTCGGTGAGCGCTTGTTTCCTTCCGCGGGCCTGCCTATATTTTCCTGTAATCCGTCCCCTGCAATAGTGGGGGAGCCCCGTATTTATAAGCCCGTGAGTAAGTTCGAAGCCTATACTAAGCTTCTAATTGCAGTACTAAGCCTCTAATTGCAGTAAAGTAGTACGCTTTAAGCCTCCACTAAGCCTCTAACCGCAGTAAAGCAGCAAGCTTTAAGCCTCTAGTAAGCCTCTAACTGCAGTAAAGCAGTAAGTTTTAAGCTCTACTAAGCCTCTCATTGCAGTAAAGTAGCCTCTACTAAGCCTCTAATTCCAGAAAAGTAGTTCATTTTGGGCTCCTAACTCCCATCGTAGACTCTATTTGTTGACAAAACTGGTTAAGGGACGAAATTTTTTCCCTGAAAAAATATAGGGGGATTTCTTTGCCAGGATTTCCGGAAAAAAGGCTTTTTAATATTATTACGGAGCTTGGATTAATTACCTCGTCCCTGCGGCCTGCTTCACATCTCGATTGTTTGGGGGATCTGCATCACGGAGCACCTGCGAGCTTGTTCACGGCTAGACTGACCTGGACATGAGTTCTTCTGCAACACGCAAAGCCATGTGCCGTAAAGGATCGCAGAGGAACGTGTGATTTGGCCGGGAAGTATTATCAACACTGGCCCCGACTAAACCATCCGCCCCAGAGTCAATGCTTCATGCAAAGCTTTACTGCAAAGGCTCCGTGGCAACCCGACTGTCGCGAGAATTCTTGAAGAAAGGCTCGCCGACGCATTGGTAGGCATGGGCTTACACATCGATGACATGTGTCTCGCAGCCGACTCCGCTATGCTGTGCCAGGTTGTTGCCGTTGGCATCGCCTCCGATGACTAGTAGTAGTGGTCGTCGTCGTCATAGTCATAACAGCAGTAGTACTAGCAGTAGTAGTAGTAGTCGTCGTCNNTGGCTGCCGGCTGCGTATCCATGGCTTGCGCGTTCTCCATCGTCCGAGTGTGTCACCGAAAAGAAAGTGCTAAGAAGATCACACCGAGAAATTGGCACAAGAAAGCAAAGCAAACCTCCAAAGAGGGGGCTGCTACGCAGCACCTTGAGCCTAAGTAGTAGTAATAAGTAGTAGTAATAAGTAGTAGTAATAAGTAGTAGTAGTAGTAGTAGTAGTAGTAGTAGTAGTAGTAGGGATAGTAGTAGTAGTAGTAGCAGTAGTAGTAGTAGTAGTAGTAGTAGTCGTGGTAGTCGTGGTAGTAGTCGTAGTAGTAGTCGTAGTAGTAGTCGTAGTGGTAGTCGTAGTCGTAGTCGTCGTCGTAGTAGTAGTAGTAGTTGTTGTTGTTGTTGTTGCTGCTGCCACTGCTGCTGCTGCTGCTGTTACTACTACTACTACTACTACTACTACTACTACCACTACTACTACTACTACTACTACTACCACCACCACCACTGCCGCTTTGACCACCAGCATCAAAATCATTACTATTATAACCAGGTTCAGGGGTCGAAGTCTACCCCTGCGTTTTGCATATTTTAGGAATACGTGTAATGCGTGTGTATGGGGTGGCAAGGATGAACAAGGCGGGGGGAACCTTTGTATGGAGCTCTCTGTCTTGGTCGAGGGACAACAGCTGGTGCTCGCCCGTGCCGAGGTTTGCGTACTTTTAACTCGTTGCGGGGGGTAGGGCGGCAAAACAATAGTACAGTATAGTCTAATGTAGCATAATATCTGAACCTCAGACCCCGAGCCGCCGAAACGAAGGCCGGAGCTTCAGGAAGACCCAGCGGCCTTGCAGCGTTACCTCGAGGAGCCCTCCAGGTTGAGCCCAGGCTTCGGAGGATTTGGAGGCTTGAGGTTTAGGGTTTAGAGGGTTAGGGCCCGAACGCTAAAGTTTAGGGTTTAGGGTTTCGGGTGTTATGAGGGCAGATTTTATGACTAAGCATCTAAGCTCCTACCATCTCACCGGCATGTTTCATTTTACCGAGCTCCGGACCAAGATGAGGATTCCATCGGGAGAAGATCACGGACGGCCGCCGAAAATTTCCTGTTAGTGTAGCGATGTGGAACTTCACTAGAAGGAGTTAGCTGGCAGCTAGCTGAGCCTGGGACGAGTCCCGCACAAACTCCGGACATATCGCTC